GTATAACGAAAATCAGAGAAGTTTTGCCGAGAATGATTATAGTGACTATATTAAGAGTTCTATTCCTTGCGCTAGTAATAAGCAGTATCTATTAAAAAAAGCTGAAAATATCAACTTCGTCATGGTCACTCGAGCTTACCGCGAGTTCGCCCGCCATTTTGTTCTTCTCGTCTGTTAGAACGGAGTATTTTTGCTTATCCTCCCACTCTTTCTCTTCCAGCATACTCTTTGTCGCACGAAGCTCGCCAAAGATCTGGTCTCTCTCACTGATGAGGGCGTCCAGTTTCATCTCCTCTAATCGATCTCGTTCAGACATCTGGATCAGTTGGCAGTAAACAGTATTTAGACCACCACGCCCGCCTTGAGAATTCAGATTCCACGCGAAAATATTCTTTCCGCGTCATTCAGTATATTAATTATTATCATTTCTCGTAGAATCTATATATCCCATGAGACAGATTCAACTTCCGGTCACCTCTCACGTGCACAAACTTCGATTCAACGGCATGTGGGGGCATGTGATATCGATAAATTCACACACCTGTCTTCGGGTAGCCAAAAGTTGCGCTGCTAAGTCTCTCATGGCACCCCGTTGCTTTCTACCGTGTTCGTCAGCACGTGATAGCTGCTCTGAATCTCCATGCTCGCTGTCAGATTTTGCTTTCTGCAGGTGTGTTGCTAGAAAGATTGACACTTCTTCATTCTCGTCCTTCGCAACAGCAACTGCTGATTTTCCGTCGTGATCCAATCTAACAGTGAACGATACATATGAATTAAGAATCACTGAGAATACATTTAAAAATATAATTTACCTCAACAGCAACTTTTCAATAGGAGAAGTTTAACCGGCTCTTTGATGAAGCATAGAGCATACATGCGCCTAGTCTGATCGAGAAAAAACTTACAGTGACAAGTCTGGAAGCCCTTCGACAAGAGCTTTTACACTCTCCATATCACCATTGAAAGCAGCAAAGTGTGTCGCTGTCCAGCTATTCTGATGATTGACATTAGAACTGAGACATCAGTGTCCATGCTGGTATCTTTTTCCATGCGATTTGTTTTGGTGGGAGCGTTGTGTTTGTTCATATCTAGGCAAGAACAGATGACACTAGATATGCGTCTTGTGCTAGCCTAGCATGTAAACCGTGGCAAGTTTAGTTTATTGAACTTATACTTAGAAGCGACGAATACAGCGTCTTGTTGAGACACATTAAAAAAAAGTCATCACATGCCGTGGATTCGTATAATAGTGAGGGAGACGCGGTCCACTTTCACTGCAATTATCAAAGCAGAGCTTGGGCTAATTTGCAGAGTGTGTTTGCTGCGCGAAAGCACCTACCTCATTAGCTGCATTAATATCGGCTCCAGCTGCCAACAGTAGACGAATAACAGTAACGTGATTGTCATGCGCAGCAAGGTGCAGGGGAGTATCTCCTTCTTCGTCCTATCGGTGAATTTTATTGTGCCCGTCAGTTTCAGATATGATCCCATGCAAGCTTCATGATACGAAAGCGTACGAAAGCGCAGAAGTACGCCCGCAGTAACGAGCATAAATCGCATGATTAATGTGTCATATATTCAAATACAAATACTGAAAGTCTTCTCAATAAGGGTGAGTTATCTGATAAGTTTTTGCATCGAGTGACTTCAATTTGAATACTGGGTGGTACAAAGTGAAAAAGCACTTTGCAGTGTGCGAAGTGTTTATTCTCTGAAGTTGCTTCTACACCAATGAAATGCGCAGAATCTTTAACGTATAATGATACATGCGTCACTTATTTTTGCTCAGATATCCTAGTCGTCATTCAATAAACTGTACATTGGACACGCTCTCATATTAACTCCTCGAACGCCTAACAGTTTAGTTTTTTTCATACCAGTACTTATTTACGACATATTGGAGGAGGACAGGGAAACTTACAGCCAAGTTTACTGATGCATCTTCTATGATAAGCCTCCGCACTACAAGATCGTGTCCTTTCGCTGCGGCATTGTGCAAGGCAGTGCGGTCGTTCTGGGTTGATAAAAATGTGCACATAATTGGTTTTGTTCTTCAGTGTGATATATAGATCGTTGAGTATTTTTAGTCTACAAAGTAAAATAAACAGACAAAAGCGATATTTTTCTGAAATTCGCAACCCTTGCAATCGAGATGCGTTATATCAAAACAAAATTCTGTGCTATAACTGCGATATTCTATAAGCTTAATACATACATACATCCAGTAAACAACATGTGACTACGCAAAGTTAATGAGCATTGAAGCTGATACGAATGTCGCTATCGCAGTGATGCTTCCTGAGAAGACATCATATAGCTTAAGTTCAGAAACTTATATTTCAATATACCATAATTTCTAATTCTATATGGATACATAAATATAAAGAGAAACAAAAATAAAAGATATATACACATAAACATGTTCGAACATACACATATACACACACAAACACACTGTTTTTTCTGTACACACATATTTGTAAATCCATATATGTATTGAATATATAGGCATATGTTTCTGAATATGCATATAAATATAAATACATGATTATACATATGTATAAACACACATATACATATAAATACATGCTCATATATGTTTATGGATATACAAATACAAATATGTTTATGAACTTGCATGTAAATCCAAATATATATCAACACACAAACACACACACATATATATGTATATATACATGTATATATATATATACATACCTACATACATACATATATATATATATATATATATATATATATATATAACTAAACACAAATACAGGTAAACACACACACTCACGCACTCCCGTACACACACACACACACATATATATATATATATACATTACATGTGAATATCTGTATGTTCATATATATATACACCTAAACACACATAGACACACAGTTATATATGTGTATATATATTCATCTGAATGTTCATATTCATATTCATATACATACATACAGTTTTATATAAATCTTATTTTATTTTTATATATGCATACATATATGAATAAAAATATAAGTACACACACCTACACACACAAACGCACGTATGTACATATATATAAATACATACATACATATATACATACATACATAT